ATGTATGTATATGCTTTTTATTGTAATATTGCACTTTAGGATTATCTGGTCCTAAGCACGGTTCATTTTCTTTTTTTTTCGCATATTTGATAAGTTTTCTGACCTTTTTTAGATATAGCAGAAACCAGAGGTGGACATTGGAACACAGATAGAATACCAGATGGAGACTGGTGTTTAAATGTTGACATGTTGAATGTGTTTTATATTATTGTGTCTATTTAGCAAGTCTATGCTATGATTTTGTTACTTTGATAAGGTGACTTATCCAACGTTATTTATTCGGCAGGTGAGTAAGGGGTTTTACCTTTTTGGTTGGGCCTTTAAGTGATTTTTATAATTTTTTGGGGGTGGTTTACATTTAAAAAAATAAATAAAAAAAACTTAGGAGAAGGGATTGTATTGCATACCCCATCATTGCAAGGTATTGGGAATTTTATCTATTTGTAGTTAAAAGGGATAAAAGAAAATAGGCATTTAAGGTTAACTATGCAAATTTAGACAGAGCATGGAGCAAGCAGGGCCAGATTAAGAGCCCAGTGGGCCTGGTGCTGACAATTATGACGGGCCTAATTACAGAATCATATCGACCAAAAACAGTAAAACACTCCCAAGCATCATGTATCTGATGGAGATGGTGCTGGAGAGAAAGAAAACAGCAGCTATAAGAAAACACATACCCTAGGCTAACCTCTCTCTAATTTATATTTTCAGCTTTCAAGTAAATCCATAACCCCTAACAGCAATGTCCAATCAAGCAGGAAGTCAATGGGGACGGTAAAAGGGTTTGCCACTGACACAAATCACGTAACCTGCCAAAACGGGCAAACATGCCCAAAAAGAGGACATGTCTCCTCAAAGAATTAGAAGGCCAGCCTGACATGAATGCATGTCAGGCTGCCTGCCAATCATGCAGCTGGCCAACTAAGGGCATACTATGCAGACAGCACCCTGAGCTTGGCATAAATGCATCTAATGATGCGCTCACGCAACGCTTTCTAAGGACTGTCCCCTAGCACTCGCTGGTCCACTTGTCTCCTTACCTTCCTACTAGCAGGCAGAAGCTCCTGGTATATGGTCTGGGACAGAGAAAAGCTGTATGTAGTGAGTGTAGAAGAAAGGGAACATGCCACAGTGTTAGAGAGACCAAAGTCAGCATTACCTTAAAGGATCACTATAGGGTCAGGAACACAAACATGAATTCATGACCCTATAGTATTAACACCACCATCTAGGCCCCCCTGGATCCCTCATGCCTCCATAAATATAGCAAAATCTATATTCAAGCCTGAAGCTGTAACTCTGCATGCTGTTAGACTCATAAAAACAAGCATTCTGGTGACATCATTAGAAGTGGTGGCCTGATCCAATCACAGTGCTTCCCCATAGGATTGGCTGAGACTGACAAAGAGGCAGATCAGGGTCAGAGCCAGTATGATTCAAACACAGCCCTGGCCAATCAGCATCTCCTTATATAGATGAATTTCATTAATGAATCTCTATGAGGAAAGTTCAGTGCATGCAGAGGGAGGAGACACTGAATGTTTGGATGCCTTTTAGGCAGCCATGACCCAGGAAGGATCTCTAACAGTCATCTAAGGAGTGGCCAGTGAAGTTATCACTAGGATGTAATGTAAAGACTGCATTTTCTCTGAAAAGACAGTGTTTACAGCAAAAAGCTTGACGGTTATGATTCTACTCACCAGAACAAATTCAATAAGCTGTAGTTGTTCTGGTGACTATAGTGTGCCTTTAACTATATTCATTGTCAGCTAGTCCACACAAGTTTTGTTCCCATACATCCCACTTAAGTTTCCATACTTAAGTAAGAGTATGTGAAAAGTAGTTAGAGTTGCCACCTTTCTTGGAAAAACATACCGGCCTTACTAATTTGCGTAATTAAATATGTATGGGTGACATCACATGATGTAAATCACAAGGAGTGATATAAGAGAAAATGCTGTAAAATCACCAAAAAACTACTTAGTTTGATTCTGCTGTATAGATGGATTCCTCCCAGTGCCCCCATGTCTCCCAGTGCCCTCATGACTCAGTGCCCCATGTGTCGATTACTCCAGGTCTCAGTGTTCCTATGTATCAGTGTCTCAGTGACCCATGTCTCCCAGTGTCCCTTAGTGTCTGCCATAATGTCTCCCAGTGTCCCTTAGTGTCTGCCATAACGTCTCCCAGTGTCCCTTATTGTCTGCCATAATGTCTCCCAGTGTCCCTTAGTGTCTGCCATAATGTCTCCCAATGTCCCTTAGTGTCTCAGTGTCCCTTAGTGTGCCAGTGTCTGCCATAATGTCTCCCAATGTCCCTTAGTGTCTCAGTGTCTGCCATAATGTCTCCCAATGTCCCTTAGTGTCTCAGTGTCTGCCATAATGTCCCCCAGTGTCCCTTAGTGTCCCAGTGTCTGCCATAATGTCTCCCAATGTCCCTTAGTGTCTCAGTGTCTGCCATAATGTCTCCCAATGTCCCTTAATGTCTCAGTGTCTGCCATAATGTCTCCCAATGTCCCTTAGTGTCTCAGTGTCTGCCATAATGTCTCCCAATGTCCCTTAGTGTCTCAGTGTCTGCCATAATGTCTCCCAATGTCCCTTAATGTCTCAGTGTCTGCCATATTGTCTCCCAGTGTCCCTTAGTGTCTCAATGTCTGCCATAATGTCTCCCAATGTCCCTTAGTGTCTCAGTGTCTGCCATAATGTCTCCCAGTGTCCCTTAGTGTCTCAGTGTCTGCCATAATGTCTCCCAATGTCCTTTAGTGTCTCAGTATCTGCCATAATGTCTCCCAATGTCCCTTAGTGTCCCAGTGTCTGCCATAATGTCTCCCAGTGTCCCTTAGTGTCTCAGTGTCTGCCATAATGTCTCCCAATGTCCCTTAGTGTCTCAGTGTCTGCTATAATGTCTCCCAGTGCCCCTTAGTGTCTCAGTGTCTGCCATAATGTCTCCCAATGTCCCTTAGTGTCTCAGTGTCTGCCATAATGTCTCCCAATGTCCCTTAGTGTCCCAGTGTATGTCTCCTTGCAGCCTTTCCCCCATCCCTTACTTCCCTGAGCTGTAGGCTGTCTCTGCAGGGTGGGAGTTGCTGTCTGGACTCTCTGTAGCTGCACCCCTGCAGATCAGTGAGTATAGATAGGCAGGGAGGGATATGCTGGAACGTCCTATCCCTGCCTGTCTCCACACACAGTGACCCCTACTGGCCAGTGCTGGTATTGCAGAGTAATCTCTTGTTTCTACTGAGAAAAATACCAGCATTTGTATTGCCAGTATAACTGCAATATTGGCACCGCCAGGCAGCCCCAAATACTGGCTGTGCCAATAAAATAAAAGCCAGATGGAATCCCTAAGAGTAGTGTGAAAAAAAAAAAAAGTAAAAAAAAAAAAAAAAATTTTTTTTTTTTTTTTTAAAAAATCAATGGGCCTATTCCATGGGCCTGGGCCTGGAGCTGCAGCTCCATCAGCCCCTATGTTAATCCGGCCCTGTATATGGTGTACTAATATGTGTTTAAATACAGTGTAATTATGCAGAAAACCGATCACTGGAAGGCATTGTATGCATTTAACCAAATAAAAGCCCTGAAGTTTCTAAGCTAGTTTTCATGGCACATACACTGTCAGTGAAAAAAAGTGATTTGATCTTGTGAAAGGCATATGACACAGAAGCCACGAGTCAGACATAGTCACGCAACTCAGAGTCATGCTATTACAAAGTTACTTTTATTAGAGACTCTTTCATTCCAATGATGATCCAGAAGGGGTTAATGTTAGATAATTGAAAATGATTGATAGAGTTCCTCCATACAGGGAGAAAAATACCTAAGGGGCAGATTGCCACAAACACACTTTGAAATAAAGAGCTCATCTCCCTTTTGTTTTTTTTAATTCTCAGGAAAATGTACACATGTGAGAATTGATGCTATTCCACAATGTGATGGACAAATAATTTTTCTATTTTTATCCTAGTTTACTTATAAAATACAGTACCATTGACATATATAGGGCCCCTTGAAAGATTCAATTATTTTTTTGAAATACAATAAAATCACAATTTACAGTGTGGATAGCTTTTATGTATGTGTAAACAAAGATATACGCAAATAAACATCACAAATGAATTAAATTACTGAATAATAACCACACAGTCTTAATGATAGGAATACCACACAAATTATTTCTCTTTAGAAAATGCAGTCTTTCTTTATTAAGAGGTCTGGCAATTAAACAAAAACACAAAACAAAAAAAGCCTTGCTCTTCAGAGCACTAACTGACAGTTTTTACTAACTACTGTTGGGCGGCTTACTTGCTGCCAACAATACAAAACACAAATTTGAGCACAGACCTTTTCTAAATTAAATGTTTCCTTTCTCCTTCAGAACATGAAGACTCTTGTAGAGAGACATGCAGTCTCCCACACTGCTTGTCCTTCTCCCTGTTGAATACCTGGCAGGGTCTTTTTATAGCAGTCTTGTGCTGATCATTGCCAACAGGTGCGTAACTACCAGGATCCAGAATTCCTGGACTGGTTTGCTCACCTGCTGTGCTGTATGTAAACTGAGTGGAGCACTGTCCCTCACATCACTCCATATGCTCCACCCTTGGAACCCATATTAAATTACAAAATT